AAGGGGCTCATTTTTTAAAAATAATAGGTTTATATGCATCTAAAAAAATAGTACTTTTAGTACAAAAGTAGAATTTTTTTTATAACAGTTGCCTCAAAGAAAATAAGTTTTTTTAAATTATAATTGATAAAATTTTACCTAAGATCAGTCATGTCTCAAAAAGATTAAATAAGTTGGCAACTATTAATTGAAAAGAAATTATTAGATTAAAATTATTAACAACTTTGCATCTCAAAAAAGGTATAAAAATAGACTTCAAATAAGAATATATATTATAATAATCTTTTAAAAATTTAGGCATCACATTAAAGTTTGGCTTTAGGTCATACATACGCTTGAGCCTCCCCTGAGGGTGATTTGCACAAAAGTGATATTTATTCCCTCTTTTTGATATTTGTGCGAAACTGATGTTGTGTCAGTAATACTACTTAGTTAGTTAGGAAACTTACGATTTATTCTTAATTTTCAATGATATCGAAGTAGTTTTGCCTCACATAGTGGTTTATGATATCAGGAATAGTAGTATATTCACATCTCATCAAGAGGACAAGAGATATAAACAAATAATCATAGTGAGTCATTTATTCTCAAAACTGGTTTGGAATTGATAAGAAATCGAATGGGCATTAAGCTTGGACTTAATTTGTGTGGGATAAAGCCATTCCTACAATAATTAGCAATTGGAAGCGGATCTGCAATAACCATAATTTGTGTTACCGCTCAACGAGATATGAAATGAACTTATAATTATGGAATTGACTCGATCATGAGATTATAAGTTCATAACCCTAGCTCATTCCCTTTTCGGGCAGAACAAATCTACTAAATTCTTTGATTCAAGTTAGTACAAGAGATCTTGAACTAAGAAATAAACTCTAGAAGCTAAAAAGGATATCCTGAACAGTTGCAATAAATCGAGTCTATTGATATTCCTGGTATAGTAGTTGCTATTACACATATAATTATACTCAATTCAATCGTGAACTCCCATTTTTCACAGTCTCTAGATGTAGAGATTGAATTTACATTATGTAAAACCTTAGTCATTCTTTACGATAAAAAGTGTGTTTTCTTCGACACCCATAATGGTATTTATATATATAAGTACTACGAGTTTAAGAGGAAGACTAGCTAATAGGTTAACGACCTAATTAATAACCTTTATGGGTAAACCCAACATAATAGTAATTTTTTAACATCTCTCATTGTCACGACCCTAACCCGGACCCAATCGTGATAGCGCCTCTCGTGAAGACAAGGCCAGCCGACACATTCCCAATTCATTTTTAAGCAATTAAATAATAAAACTAAGTCTTTAACATAATAATAAAAATTCCCCAAATAAGGTGAATAATACAGTTTGTGGAATAGACATAACCCGACATCGGGATGTCACCAGTCATGAGCATCTATCATAAAAAACTACAAGTCTGAAAAGAGTCTACACAACTAAAACAGGAGAAAACAAGATAGACGGAGAAGCACTGGGCTACGAACGCCGAGCAGTTACCTAGTGAATCTCTGGAATCTGCTGGAAAACTCTCAACCCTCGCAAGCATGACCTGATGCGCTTGAATCTGCACACGAGGTGCAGGGAGTAAAGTGAGTACTCCAACTCAGTGAGTAATAATAATAAATAAAGACTGAGCGATAAGAAATCACGTAAAAGCACATCAACATATTATAAAGAAGCAGTATAAAACCAGTAAAAATAATGAAAACAGTGAAAACATGTAAAAACACTTAGTCAGAAGAAGCTTCTTTAAAACACCTTTTTAACAGTGAAACAATTAAATGAGAAGTAGCTAGAACAGAGAAAACACATAAAAATTCGTCCATCGGGCACAATGTCAACAGAATCCGCCCCTCGAGCAACACATGGAACAATACCAGCCCCTCGGGCTATATCTTATATCACAATGGGTATCTGCGCTCACTGGGGGTGTACAAACTTCGGGAGGGTCCCCTTATGGCCCAAGCACAATATCAAGCCCTCTCGTGGCATAATCAGTAGGCTCTCGGCCTCATATCAACAAGCCACCTCGTGGCGTACAATCTTAGGCCCTCGGCCTTAAAATCATAAATCAGTGTATCCTCACAACACAGGACCTCGGCCTTACTCAATCAGAATCTCATAAGACACTCAGGTAACAGTAAAACATGATGCTCAGCCCAAATTGTTGTTTAAAATATCATTTAATGTATTAAAAAAGAGTAAACATGGCTGAGTTATGAAACAGTAGAATATAACATGACCGAGTACAAGTATAAATTCAAAATAGTGAGGAAATATCAGTAAAAAAATCCTCTAAGAGTCCAAATAGTTGGCACGAGGCCCAAATATGGCATTCAACCCAAAACATGATGATAGCAAATAGTTCTCAATCAAATACGCGGTAAAACAGTCATACGGGATGGACCAAGTCACAATCCCCAACGGTGCACGACCTAACGCTCGTCATCTAGCGTGTGCGTCACCTCAATATAGCACAACGATGTACAAATCCGGGGTTTCATACCCTCTAGACAATATTTACAATCATTACTCACCTCTACCCGGTCCAAATCTCTAGCTCGCGATGCCTTTGTCATTCGAATCGGCCTTCAGATGCTCCAAATCTAACCAAAATCAGTGCAAAACCATCAAAATATGCTAAGAAAACAAAGCCCACTCGAAAGAAACCAAATTACAATACAAATCCCGAAATTGGCCAAACCCGACCTCGGGCCCATGTCTCGGATTCCGATAAAATTTACATCAATAAACTCCTTATCTTTCCCCGAGTTCATTCATACCAAAAGCACCAAAATCCAACCACAAACGACCCCTCAAATCCCAAATTCTAGGTCTCCAATTACAAGCCTTAGTTCTTTAATATTAGGATTAAATTCCATGATTAATTAGGTAAAATTCACATAAGAATCGAGTAT